CGGGCTTTCAGAATTTTTCTTTTTTTTAGTAACAGATAAAACATGAAGAATCCATGCTGTGCAGTAGATATTCAGTAATTTCACAGGTGTCTGAGTCATGTGTGCGGTTTTTACAGCTGTAGGTAAAAGAATTATCATTGTCCAGACTGTTTTCCATTTTAGTGACTTGATCCAGCTCATTTCTAAAGTCAGCTTTCCTCTAAAATAAATGAAGTAATTTGGCAGTGACACACAGTCGTTATTACTCCAAATTAATCTTCTCCCTTTAGCCTAATATTATGCTTTCCACTATCAGTCACCCTCACTGGTGGTTTTTTTTGCGGGGGGGAGAGAGCATTAAATTATGTTAATTAAGATTTCTCCCACTTACTTTCACAGCTAATAAAATATAATTACTAATGAGCTTGGTTTGGGTCAACTCTCTGACATCATTGTTCTTCATCTATGCATAATTGTAATGGACTTCATATTTTTTAGTCTTTTTTTTGTCAGTGGGAAGTTGTGGTTGCCAGTGTTTTTCTGGCCAAAATCAGAGCTGGTTGCCAGTGTTTTTCTGGCCAAAATAGTGATTAAACCCTCACCTCTAAAGAATCAGAGCTTGTCATGACGTTAATCAGTGAGTGGGAGGGGACGCAGCTTTCTTCCTGTGGTTAGGGCTGAGCTGTTTCCAGCCTTTATGTCAGAGGATGTAAATAAGGATATTCCTCTTCAAAGCTGTCAATCCTAAATCCTGTTACTACTTTTGCTCAGCTTCAGGAAGTTGATTCATTTAATGCCAACATCTAAATTTAAAAATCAACTTCCTGCTTTCCTTGAAATAACAGAAATAAATTTAGTTTGTTTGGATTTGTTTACCTTTTCCCACATAGGGTTTGGCCTGTTGGTGAAATGGCTGTCGGACCCTGACAATCTGAACCAGCTGGTCCTGAGCCAGCTCGACAGCGCCAGCCCCAAAGGCTCCGTTGACGATCTGTGTGGATCGGACCCGGAACAGTCTTCCCTGGGATCGGAGGGCAAGGACGACGGAGAGATGGGAGAAGTGTGAGTAAGACAGACATCATGACAGTGACACTGCAGACTGAATCACGTAGATTAGTCTGTAAGTAAACTGAAAATAGAATACAATGAAATAAACAAAAGGATTAAATAGTACTGTTTTTTGTTTTTGTGTTTTGTGATTTTTTCTAGGAGCTCAGAAGGTGGAGAGGTTTCATCTTCCTCAGGAATCAAAAGTAGAAGAAAAGGTTTGTTTTTAATTTTTCCTCTGATTAAGTTATGCAACGCGACACACATTTTCACTTGGGACACACAAACGCTGCCGGAGGACGACGTTTGATTAATTTTGACTCGAAAAGTCCAGATGGATGTGATGGAGAGTGTGGGAGTTTACAGAACAGATGACAGTGCTTGTACTTTACAGCAGCATGTTGTCAGTTTACTGATATAACAGTTTTCCTCAGCAGCCTGTATCCTAATGCCTAATTAGTCCCATGTTTCTTTTCTTAATTAGACCAAATATGTAATTACACAGACATCAGGCTGAGGGCCTAACAGTCTCTTCACTAATTCCTTTTTCCTTCTGTGTTGAAAACAGTCCAGCGGCGATGACAACCTCATGTAAATGATAATGTCATGATAATAAACCATCCGACATGATAAATTTCTACGGTGTCTGTAATGACGCTTCTCATAAATGCTGAAACAGTATCATCATTTGTCATGAGAATTATTCAGCTCTGATGGGACATTTATTGATTCTTGGGTCATAACAGTGAAAGTTTGATTACCAATCGTATTTGCTGTGCTAACCTGCCCAGTGGAGTGTGAATTATATTCAGTCAATAGTTTTCTCTCAGCATAAAGTCCCAGTAGATCACCAGCGTAGGTGATGTTCAGGTCAGGTTCTGCTTGGAGTCGGAATCTTTTATTCAACTCACGTACAGAGAGGAAAAATCTTTGTTGGGCACTAAAGTGAACGCACACTGTAGGAGAGTTTTTTCTGAATAAGGTAGATGGTGTCCAACATGCGGGTCACGGGGTTAAGTTCTGTTGGCGGTGGGTTCTGTGTCTCTGTTCAGGGATTTTTACTGCAATAATCTGTTTTTCCATTTGGTGCCACCTCGTTTCTTCCTTTTGTTTTTAATTAAAACTAATAAGTGTCCACTACCAAGACTAGGAATGATCTTACTCTTCTTAGCTATGATTTGTAGCTCATGGTCGCACCTATTGTTAAAAACTACTTTATTAAATGATTTCAGCTTTGTGGTGTTCAGGTTTTTGCGGGGGGGGGGGGGGTTTTGGGGGTTTTTGACCTACGGCGTTACGTCGACACTCCCCCCAAGTAAAAAAAAAAAAAAAAGAGTTTACCTTTAAATATGTCCCACTTCATTAGTCTACCACCAGCAGCTTAAACAAACGATACAGTCCAAAATGTCTCCGTGTTCATTTGGCTGCAGCAGAAATCAGCAATAATCAGACCAGACGTTGTTTTTTCTCATTCATTACTCTTTTCTCCTGTGTGAGTTGCAGCCGCTGTTTCCTGTTTATAGAAAAATCACCTGGTGTTGTCCTCTGCTGCAGTAACTCGTCCACATTTCAGTTGGACATGCTGTGCAGTCAGAGATGCTCCTGTGCATACTGTGGTTGTAATAACTGGTCATTTAAATGACCACTGTCTGCAGTCCTGTCAGCTTGAAGCGTTCTAGTCATTTTGTGAAGTTTTTTTATTTTACCCAGCGAACTGCTGATCAGTGTGTGTTTCTGTTTCTAACTCTTCTCTGTGAACCCTGGAGAATGCAGCATCGAAATCATTGTAGTTCAGCAGTTTTTTAACTGTCTACAGAAACAATCGCAGGTTCAAATCTCGTTTCCTTCCTGTTGTGACATCAGGTTCGAGCTTTAGCAGGTTACCATGATTGTTGTTGTCAAAGCACAAAGTTTGGAGAACTGCATAAATTAGCCGTTGAAGTGGTGTACCTGAGATGTATTGGCCGACCTGAAAATGTGAATTAAATCTAAATCCTGTCCACTGCAGAATACACTTCACACTTATACCCACCCAGTGTGTATTACTGCAGTGTTTTTGACAGGTACATTTCAGTTGTTCACACATATAAAATATTCAGGTTAAGGAAAATGGAAATGGCTGTGATTATTTGTGTGTGACTCTCTGTGTTTGATGTTCTTGATATTCAGGCAATAAATTAAAACAGGGATGGTCCAAGTTTGTAGATAAGATGAAGTCCAAGAAGGTCAAGAAGAAGAAGATGAAAAAGATGGAGCAGGAGCTGATAATGAGGATGATTGTCAATCAAGATAATGGCAGTAATGATGATGATGTCAGCAGCCGGGAAGGTTCCATTCACAGCCAGCAGGATTCTGACAGGGTGAGGCCGCAGCCAACGCTGCCATAAATTATGCCTAAGATGCCACAGCGTTGTTATTACAGCAAGATGAAACATGACAGATTGTCGTTTTTCCGGCCAAACGTTATTAGGAGGACATTGATCTGGAGAACTATTTGACAACAGTCCAGGAGGACATGATGGAGTTCAAGCTGTCATATGAGATGTGGCGCGTGGGCCGCTGGGCTGTCAGCATCCCGCATGTGAGTTATAAATATCACTGACGGTGTGGAATGTCCTGGAGGCTTGTTAACTGTCATGCTGAAGCTCTGTTAAAGCCTGTCCTTGAATGGCACGTTAATGGTTGAGCAGGAGTTTACCCTGTTGTAGGCCGACTGGGAGGAAGATGAGCTGACCTTCACCGTTCACCTGGAGGAGAACAACAGCCCTGAGAACCTGCAGTGGGACATCAGGAAGAGCTACATGGAAGTCATTTATTTCCGCAACAGATGGCAGGTAAACACTCTGATTGCACTACACATTTGTGTTAATTGGACACAAATGATTCAGAGTTCCCAAAGGTGCTTGAAATCCTTGAATGTTTTTTCAGCCGTTCAAATATTATACTTTTTTTTATAGCGTTTGATAATTTAAAATGGGGAAATGATGGTCAATCACTTTGCTTTAGGGAATGACTAAAGTCGATGTTCAACATCGATTTCCATTGCTGTTCCACCTGCTGTGGGGTCTCCGATCTCCATTCAGTCCTGGACAAATGTCTCTGCAGTGTCCTCAGCTTTTTATTGGCTCTGAGTGAGCACAAGGGCAAGGTCAACACAATAACTTTTCCCTCATTTTTCTTATTTTACTGTTGAGCCCAACAATATTATACACTTTTATCTTCCACAAAGTAATATATGAGTGATCATAAACAGGTTATTTTACTGACACGTTTAAAGCTTGGAGCAGTCTTTCATAATTTATTTTTAATAAATAAAACTACTCTGGCCATTATTTGTTTTAATATGCTAAGTACAGGTATAAAAGTTGTCGACAAAAAGCTCTGTAATCAATTACTGATCCAAAAAAATGTGTCTGGTCAGGTTCCCTCCATCAGAAATAGTTCAGGATATAAACACTCGATGTCCTTTCCCCTTCATTTTGAGGTAAAATTATTAGGTCACAGACATTTTCATCATCACACCAGACCACTGACCTGCCATACACCATGTAAGCCTGAATGCTGCAGCGCTGTTCAGCAGAACCACACAACAAATTATTGGTCACAGCACGGGGCTGCGGACGGTCAATAAGACATCCGAGCAATAAGACGACCGCGTTCTAAAAATAACAACACACAGAATGGAGCTTAGTCCAAAGGTCAGCGTTTACTTCCAGACACTTTTTAAATTTTTAATTCAAGTGAAGTCATTTTTTTCACAGAAATGATCAATTTATGCTACATCACCAATGTAGTATTGTATGAGATCGCAGATGGGCCACTAGGGCCATTCCATTTGGCGAATGATTAAAGCACTATGTTTAAAGGTGGCTAGTGTAACAAGCTGCTAAAGATAAAAATATAAATAGTTAAATTTGCCCTTGGGTCATTATTTATTTTAGGAATTGGGTCACAAAAATTTGTGACCTTAAAAAGTGTGTCACCGTATGAAAACTAATGGAACCACCGTTCCAATTTATCACCCGGGGTCAAAGCAAAGCATGCAGTAAATCATGCCTCTGGCCTACCTTAATGTGTAGAGTTAAACGGAGCAACTGTGAGGATCAGCCCTGGCCAAAAAACAGCAGAAAAACATCCATCACTTTCATGAGCAGTGGGAGGAGACGCTTCACAACAACCGAGAAGTGTTTGTCTTATTTATGGGACGGCAGAGCAGATCTGTGTGCAGAGCAAACATTTATTAATATTAATCTCTTCATCGTGTTATCAATTGGGCAATTACTAGTAACTTAGGCCGTCTCCTAAAGTGCAGTCAGTTAATTATTGATGGAGGTTATTAATAGTAGATTAGCCAACAAAGGGATTATTGGAATTCTGTTGTAACCTTCAGGCAGATCTCAGTTAAACTAAACGTTCTGACCTCTAAACTTGATCCTGGTTTTTTGAAATAATTATGGCCGTCTAATGATTAAAATGTCTGGTTAATCACCTGGTAACTGTGGATTAATCATGAGTAATGAGGATGAATTATTAATTGTTTTATTCAGCTTCTCAGCTGCCTGGTGACCTGAGGTTAAAGCCTCTGAATGTTATGCTCATAATGCTTAAATCTAAAACTGCGCTAGGAATTATAAATAAAATTAGCACCTTTATGCACTGAAATAAAAGTAAAAAAAAAAAAAAAAAAGTCAAATTCAGCATAATTAGTTTCAGGTCAGAATAAATAAAAGTCTTGATGAGTATACTGACAAGGGAACTATTCATATATTAATAAAAAAGATTTCCTGTACTGCATTGAATTTTCTTTTCATGCTTTCAAACAAACTTTTGTTGCGATGCTACTGTGGTGAGGTAGTATTTTGCATGAATCAGAAGAGCAAAAGAGAGTTTAATTGAAAGCCTCTAGTGTTTGCTGTAAAGCTTTAGTTTTTTTCATTTTAAACACCACCTGTGTTTATTTTTCTCTGTGTGATCAGAACTAGTCATTCTGAGTCAGTGGCTCTGACCTGTGACACAACAACAAGGCGTTTGGATCCATTTGACCAGTCTGCTTCACATGTACCATCCCTCAACCTGTGTGTGCTTGATCAACAGGTTTAGAAATCTCATAGATAGTTCCTCTAACTTAGTCAACAATGTGGAGTTTGGAGACACCTTCACGTCAGGGACGAAGACAGGAACAGGATTAACTGTAAGATTTGTTCAGTTATGAATGCAGCCTCAGTTTGAAGATTTGTCGATTCATTCAGATACATTTGTTTTCTTTTGGCTTAAAATGTTTTTCTGTTTTTGATGGACTGATTCACTGAGAGCTTCTGCCTCAGCTCTGTCCATGTGTTCTGCTTTAGATGTAATTTAACATCTTTTCATATGAGTCACCTGCCTCCTCCTGACAGCATGAAAACAGAAAAATGAAAATACCTGAAAAGTACATGATTAGTCTGGCGTTATTAAAGCACCGGTTCAGTTCGTCATGGAGTTGCTGTCCTGTGAGACAGAAGATGAGACGTCTGTTACAGTCCACAGCCAGAACACCCTGTACCTCTGTCCTAAATGTAATGGTTAATAATAGACTCTCCGACTAGAGCAGTGGGTCTGTGCTCCAAAACCAACAGAGCTGCAGTTGTTTTTCTGATGAAGGAACATTTGGAGAACTATTACCTGGATGATTAAGATTCTGCAAATCCATGACTGTTGACAGATGTTTCTCTGCGATGAAACACGTGTCTCTCTGTGTGTAACCACTGGAAGATGTGTCATCAGGAGGTTTTTAATAACTTACACGATCTGTTAAGTGAGTGTGAGGAGTCAGTGCGGTGTAAATCTCTTTAACACAAGCTTCCTGTACCTCTCAGGATTCAACCTCCCTGCCCTCAGTCCTGCCCCTGGAGGAGTCAGAGGTGAATGATGATGTCATAGAGGAGGTCAGAGTATCAGTGGAGCACTTTCTGCAGGTAAAAAAAAAAGACATAAAAAATCTAATATCATAATGGATGAAGACTTCTGTCTTATCGTTTATTTTTCCTTTCCAGGAACTGGTCTCTCATAATATGATTGGCCACACTCAGCCAGTGTTTCAATTTCTGTGTCCTCTGGACAAACTGTTGAACGAGGAAGAACATTATGAAGGAGTGTGGGGTCTTCTCAGTGGCCTGGCCTACCTCCTGACTCCAGGTCAAGAGGAAGAGGAGGTAAAGTCTCAGTGTTCTGGTTTCATCAGCTTTGATGTCTTATGAACTTCCCGGTCCTTTGTTTCAGCCTGTAACACCAGTGTTTGCTGTTGCTGATCATCTAAAGGCAGGTTTTTACCAAAGTTTGTTTTGCACCGTCACCCACAGTAACTGCAGGGTATGAAGTGATGGATGTGGGTGATGATGACAGCCTGTCTGCTCTGCTGTGAGTCGAGCAGAGCATGAATAAAAGGCCACTGCAGTTTCTCGGTACAGAATGTTTCACCTGAGCTTTCTCTCCTTAGTGGATGTCAAATCACTGTGTTCCTAGATTTCAAGCCCTTTGTTAAAAAAGATTTCTAGTGTCTGTTTAAGTGGTGGGGTTGTTTTTTAACTTTTTGTCTTTGCAGAAAGATTTGCAGTTTAAAATTCAGGTCTCAAAAGTTTTAACCCTCCAACATTTCACTTTAAGTTCTCTTAGTTTAAACACAAAAAAAAAATCAAATTCTATGAAGTCCTCAGCAAAGGTTCCACTCATGTTTCACCCTGTCCTGTTTTTATTTGTTAATTTATTCATCTACCTAATTATATTTGTTTTTTCTTTATGTTACAAAAATATAATATTATTAATGGAAGTCATTAGTTAAGTGATTAGGAGAGATTTATTTCTGATACCAGCAGAGTGCTTGCCATCTCCAGCTAGGGCTTTTACTGTTGTGGTTGATGACTTCATCCATTTCTCATGTGCAATATATGAGAGAAATAAATGGAATATGTTTCAATTCACATTCTAATAAATGGCCAGATTGAAGGATTCTCATCATTCAAAGGAAAAGCTGTTTTTGGCAACAGCTTTTGGACATGGAAACAAAAACATCCATCAAGCACAAAAGGCTTGGTTTAAAATGAAGCTGCTGAAGTTATTAGAGATATTATTTTTGTCTTTTTCCCTGTGAGGAGTCCAACTCCCGAAACATCACATTCCACATTTACCACATTGAAAATTGATTTTTCTCCTTTCATTAGATGCTCACAGCATGATAAATGCTCCAAAGCTGCAACCAAGGGTTTTAAAGCCGCCATAAAGTCTTAAACTGAAACTGAGATAACTCTGACATCTGAAAGACTTTAAAAGACTCTCCCCAGAGCCACAGAAGACGATTTAGAACTGTTTCCACGTGCTTTTTACTACTCATAATGAGGACATTGATTTTAGTGTAAAAATGTAGACTTAAAGAAGGTGATGGGATTTATGGGTTTGCTGGTTAAAAAAAGGTCAGTGTAACGGCCTGAGTTGTTTTTCGTTTCTTCACAGACCTCCAGTCCTCAGGCTGAAGTCCCAAAAGAAATCACAATGCCATCATCGCACACAGAATTCTCAGCACAGCCCTCTGAAAACCTTGGCTCCTCTCCTGAGAATGGTGCTGATGCTCCCTGTGCTGCTGTGCCAACTATCATTATCTCCCAGTGTGATCCTTCTTCAGAGCCACCAGAGGAAGCAGCCGCCGAGTGTGCTGTTAACCCTGAGCCACCGAGTAATGAACACTCCTCTCAAGACAAATCGGAGGACTCGGATAATCCCCTTACCTCTCACTTCAAAATGATTTTTAAAGGACTGACCCGATCTAAGTCTCAAGAGTCCCTGGCCTCCACGAAAACCAGCCCTGACGAAGAAGCGTCCAATGCAGAATCCCCGCTGCACTGCAGTCTGAATCCAAGATCACGCAGGAGCAGCATGGAGGAGACCCAGCGGCCTCATCTCACCACCAGGTCAAACAAAAAGGAGAAATTATGTTTGAGGATGTCAGCAGGAGCAAACAAGCCTAAAGGGAAGGAGCTGAGTGCTTTACCAAAAGAGGAGGAGGTCCAGGGTCAAAGGAGCCAAGTGGACTGGGAGCAGCTTGAGGCAACAAAAGCCATATTTGATCTGCTGAAAGAAATATCTGGTTTGTTCCGTTTTTCTTTTTAAACATAAAACGCTTCCTAAAGCTTGAATAGATGATGTTGTGTCAAACATGAGCACTGGTTTGTTTTAGGAGAAATGCAGCCGTGAAGTTTAACGTTTAGGCAGCATAGAGAGGTGAAGTTACCATCCTGTTTTCACGCTAACTTTCGCTGTTTCCTAGGAGACCACTCATTGGATCAATCGCTTGATTGACAACCATCCCTTCCCCGCTCACCCGTTTCCAAGCTCTAACATCTTATTAAATTTGAAATGTATTCCATGTGGATGATCAGAATGACTGCAAGACTCAAATCTGTAATTATACACCGACTTCCTCGGCTCCATTCTCCAGAATGACTTTTCAAGTTTTGTGGTCCGCTGCCTCCACAATTATTTTCAAAAAGGACTCTGCTGCCAGTGTCATTGTCCGCAGATCTATAAAGTCATGTAACCAATTATCTACAACACATCAGTTCCTTTCAGTTGGTCGAATGAGCTGGTAATTCTGCAGTGTATGATCATGTGTGAGTCACTACTTATCATTGTGCCACTGCACACAACGAAATGTGACCTGCTTTTAACCCATCACCAAAGTGAACAGGGGCCATGTAAGTGCCCGGGGAGCAGTGTGTGGGGACGGGGCCATGCTTAGTAGGAACTTGGCAGCTCGTGGACTTGAACTTGAAACGTTTCGGACCCAAGTCTGCTTCCTTAACCACCAAGTCGCCACTGCCCCTTTAACTTTGTATAGTCCGGTTGAACTGAACGGAGGTACTTTTGGGCTGTAGAGTGATCGAATTATCAGCAAGGACAGGTTGATTAACAGCAGATGTTCTTGTGGTGTGTCCTCCACTCCAGAACATTGAGGTGTTAAAGGAATCCTATGTCATCACATTTAAAATATTACAATTTTGCTGTTCCGTTTATCTATATATCTGTCTGTCTTTCTGTCTATCATATCTATAAGAAAGAGTTTTGTTTCTGGATATCGTGGGAGTGAGCATCAACATGTCAGTGTGGGTCAGTATAAAATAAACTTTAGCCCACTGTGGATTCACGCAGATCACAGGATGTCAGAGGAAGAGACGACCTCTAATCCAGTCTGAGTAAACACTATGTTCTTGCATACTCAGGAATGTGGACACGTGACCTCACTTGACCTCCTCAGAGCTGTGACTTTGTCAGTAGATGTGAGAGCATCCATTCAGGATGGATTTAGATTTTTTTTAAGATTTAAGATCTGTACAGGTGTAAAATAATTACTCAGGATAGATATCACTGTTCAACCTGTTTAGGTCTAAACAGGTTGTTTCCATAGAGTAAAAAAAAAAAAACATATGTGGTGTTCTGCCGCTGTCAGCCTGCTCATAAGTAAAGGAATGTTTTACAAACGATCATTTTCTGCCCTGACAAGTCCACCCTGTAGCTGTGAGACTTCTTCTCTCCATGTTTCATGGTGTGTTGACAGCTTAAAATACCAAGAACAAACGTGGCATGAATCTATATGTTGTGTCTTTACAGGGAACTCCATCCTCTTAAACATATTTGATGCTATTCTGAAGCCTGTTATGCCCATCTTGAAAAAGTAAGTCTACTTCTTCTCACTCCATGACAATTATTATCTTATAAGAAACATCACTGACTTTGGTGTTTCTCCAGGAAAGTCAACTCCTTCTTGAACAAGATGAATCCTTCAGAAGTACAGATGGCAGCCTACATCGACATGCTGAGAGAAAAACAGTGGCCTGAGTCTCAAACAACGGCTCCTCCTCCCCCTCCCCGGACAGAGGAGGAGAAAAACCAGACCAAAGAGCGAGCACATGAACTCATCAATGCCAGATGTAGGGGGGGCTCTTTGAGCCACAGCCAAGGGATTTTCTCCAGTTATTCTTGGATGTTTATTACCTAACATTTCATTTTAATGTCTCCCTGTAGATTCGAACTATCTTATTTTGAAGAAAACAGACATGGAGTCGGTGTTTAATCTTTTCCAAGACGGTGAAGAAAACAAAAAGCTGGTATACGTGAGTATCCGCACAATTTATTCTTCATCACATTATTGTAACGTCCTGTTGTGATTGGTTCTCACTGTCTTTCCTTCAACAGATCATTCTTTCATTCCTACTAAGAGAGTTTTTCCCAAATGAACATTCCTTCAATGTGAGCGCTGCTGCTGCTGCATTACAGAAAGTGACCAATTCTACCAAGTGACCTGTGAATCTTTTTTTAATGGGACCTTTGCCAACATTTTAAAAACAGCAACTTATTTATTGTGTATTTTTTTAATTACTGTGAATGTTGAAAATTGACTTCTGTGGTAATTTTATGTAATGAAATGTATCGAGCAGACTGTGAACTTTTCTTTTAATTTTTATACCGTACACTTTCACTTGGATCGATTTGTTGAATTCTGATTTTGTCAACCGTGTAGTTTCAACTTCAGGGAGAACGAATAGGTTTTATGTATGGGTGGAATTTCAGCACTCACATTTTACCATCACATGTTTTTCACTTTGTGCACTGTTTATGGTGAAGACAGTTTGGAAACTGGATGGATGGACCTCAGGTTTTTTATAAAAACATTTCTCAGATTTTCCAACATGTTACTGTGTCCAAACACTTGAAAAAATGCTCTTGTAAACATCTTGAATTTCTTAAATAAAATATTTTTAATTGATTTTTGTGCACTATTTGTAAGATTAAATGAAGTACGGTGGCAATATGGAGCAATATTGCCAAGTCTCTCCAACTCAAACATCACATACATATTACTAAATAAAACAGTACATTATTGTAAACAACAATACACATTATCAGCAAGTATAAACAAGTATAAAACAGATTCATGTAGTAAAACTGCGTGGATATCTGTATTCCTTTCACATTTGTCCTCAAGTCGAAATATTTCAGTGCCGATACAGCTGAATTACGACTCCAGTTGTAATGCATTATTATGTGTCACTTAATCAATGCCCCTAAAGCAACAGTATTTAGTTTTCTCTTGAATCAATCTTAATATATCCTTCACAGGGAAAACACATCTTTAAGAGCAAATAAAGGCATATTAAATAACACATGCATCATCCATATTTTATCCCCTTTATTGATCTCAGCACTTCATTTTCAAACCACCCCATTACAATCACATACACAAATCCACACACCGTGTTTATTTCTTGAAATTCTTTGCTTTTACCTTATACTATGATGTAATGGCGTTACAAAGTGCTATATGCTATAACATATATATATACTTTCTGATGCCTTCATTAGGTATTAATGTATATTACTGGGCTTCTACCTCTTGTAGCCTTGGGGGCAGTTGAAAAGTGTGCAACATTTGTGAGATGTCATCCGTGACATTGGATCCAGTCTTGCTGCAAAGAATAGTCAATAAGTCAACAAGTAATTATTAAAGGACAAAACGTTTTTTCATTGCACCATGATCTCATCTCAAGACAAAAACATTTAACTAACTTTACCATTAATAGGTGCTTCAGCGTTCATGCTGTACCTTTAAAATGTTTTTTGTTTGTTTGTTTTAAATAAAAATAGCGGGGTACCATTTAAACATTGAAATCGACCTATCAAATAATTACATTGCATTACATTTAGTACACCATTTTATCCAAAGCAGATCACATGAACATGAACTGGAAACTATCGTTTATAACTAATACCGTAATTCCTCGAAATCGACGCTTACAGCGTGCAATTGCTCCTCCGAACCAATAGATGGCGGGCGCGTGTGTGCAGCAATGAAGAGTTTTCTTCCTGTAAGTGGTCCAATATGGCTGCGCCCTGAAACTGTCGTTGTCCACAGCGTGAAAGAAGAACAGGACAAGAGACAGGTACGTTTAAAACATGTTAATGCCACTGTTTGTAGTATTATACAATTATTACGCAGAGCGTATCGATGCCGTATTTATACAGTTAAGGTGTCTCTGACTTTTTTGCCGTTTCATGGGGATGTCTTAGTTGTTGAACGAGATAGATGCTCATGAGTGTCACATTTAGACTTAGGGACACTGGATATTCTTATTAGTTTTACATTCATAGACGTTTAAATTGTTACAACCTCCCTTTGTGGGTGGACTCAATGATATTGTCAGGTGAATTAATCAATTTAACTTGTAGAAGATAGTTTACGAAAACGCACATGGAAACAGAGATCAGAGTCATTATTGGACTCAAAGTCAAAGTATCTGCTGATCTAAATATGATCAAATCAGACTCGATCCTCTGCGTATCTCTTCATGGTTATGTGTTCACGGCTGATTATATCATTAAGTTGTAACTTGAACGTATTAAAAAGGGTAGTATGTCGTTAGCCTCATATTTTTATTGTCCGCGGTTTTTTGTGTGCAAAAATTAAAGTTGTGACAGTAAGGTCGACCAGAACCTGCGTGTATAATGTCTTTCAAAAGCCAAATTCAATAACATTAGGAGAGTAAATAATTAGCCAATTATGTTAGGAGGCTACATGTCATCCGTGAGATGTCAAGGAGTGACAACCCAAACATTAGGATAGCAAGAAAGTAGGATTCGTGAATAATTTTAAAGTCCCTTTCCTCGTCCGTGTTCTTTATATAAGACTTGCAAAGCACAGTAACTATGAAATGATAGGTAGTAAAATTGTACATGTAATTTTTACACAAATTACCATGCTGCATGACTAACTATAAGATAACTTGAAATCATAAAATATTAATCAGGACTAGTACTAATGTAAAGTAACAAGAAAATGTCTTTCCTTTTTATAATTATTCTTGGTAAACAATCTCTTTTCTGTACCTAATTAGTTCAACATTAATTTCCACTATGACACTACAGTGTTTGCCCCGTCGCCCACTGATGCGTTTGACTTTCTGTGAATGTCTGGCTTAGATAATTAATTTACACCGCATGAATTTAAAGTAGAAGAATCAGCCCCATGTGCACTGAGGCTCAGCATTGACATGGTGCAAGCACCAGGGGTCCAAATGTAAAAATGCCAGTAGTCAGATCATGAACCACGTGCACTGGTTCTTACTTTGGTGTGCAGTCATGTGATGGTGTTTTAAATTTATTCAGACATCACTGACACACTGTGGATATCACCACCAGGAAAATCTACAGAAAGACCAATTAGAGCATCTCAAACGCAGTATGTTGTGTGTTGGAGTTCTCCAGAATACAGATATGGTTTGTTCATATAATTTTCTTTTTGCTGGTGCAGCTATCATTCTAGCAGCATTGAAACAAGACATGTATTTACAAAGACTAATATTAATACTGTATAAGAGCAGTACTCTCATTGATTCTCTAGGATTCATGCGAAATCCAGAGAATGTATATTGAAGTTTGATGTCACAACCGCACTCTTTGATTGCAGTACCGCTGCTGGCCAGCAGGGACTTGACTTCGAAACTGTCTCTTTTTGTCTTTAATTCAAAATAGTCACCTGCATTTAAAAACAATGTGGCTCATTGATCCTTTCTTAGGTAAACATTAATCATGTCCAGACATTGTAGATGAAAAATATAAATAAATACTTAATTTAAATATTCTGCGCACTATTACCGGTAATGTACTCTTACCCACAGAGTCAGTAGCTCCAGCGTTTCAGGTCCTTCTCTTTGTTCATTGTTGGTTTAATCATATTCACAGACATGTTTTAACGGCAGACACTTCAAACTCATCTAAGCAGGAGCAGCTGGAACTCCTTCACTCATTAACATTAACGATGCCTTTGTTCGGATAATGCAGCAATAAAAGATGTTATTAGTTTCACCAGTGTTGAGCTGCATCTATTAGTTTTCTAATTTGTTGATGAACCACTTTGCCTCTGAATTGAAGAGAAAATGTCTTGTAATTATTTCTGTTTTTTTTTTTGTTCTGGTAATTATTATTTTCTGAATAATTACCAGAACAACAGATTTTTGTGTGTGTCTGGGTTGATTAATTAACTGGGATCAGTATTTAAAATGTCAGGATGATTTAAAGTGGAAAAGTCAGTTCATTCAGTTTTAATTTTGTCCTCATTACTTTTAACCTCTGCTAGTCTGTCGCCTCAAAGTTGAATTTACTTCTAGACTCACTGATCACTTCTTTGGTTGTTTTGTGTAACCATTAAAGAAAATAGTGAGGTCGTCTGCTTCAAGGTTGCGCATTTCAGACCTGGCCCTCTGCAGGCCTTGGCTGTAACAAGTGAAACTGTTGCCTTTTTCTCACTTGGAACCTTCAGGTCACGCTCCTCTGACGTCTTGCAGCAGTCCTCGAGACAAAGAACTGCTGACCAGTAGAATTTTTTTTTATTTGGGACAGTTCTCTGTAAACCTTACATATGGTCGTGTGTGAAAACAGCAGCTCAGCAGGTTTTGAAATCCTCAGACCAGCCTGTCTGGCACCGACAATGGTTCAACACTCAGGTCGCTTAAATCACCTTTCTTCTTTATTCTGATGCTCCGTTTTAACTACGTCGTCTCCAACGTGTCCACATGCATTAAAACACTGCCACATAACGTATGTTAATTAGACTAATTAAACACTCATTGCAGTCAAGAAGCAGGTGTACCTGAAGGAGTCGCCAGTGAGCATTTGATGTAAATTCTAATTGGACACATTAAACCAAAATGATCTCCAGATTCCCAACAATGAGGCACATTTCTTTTTGTAAAGAAAATAATTTCTCTTCATATATCAATGTGTCAACAAACATTATATTCATTGCACTACAGTGGGGGTTCCCTATAAGTAGATCACAGAGGCAGTCCCAGTTGATTATAAACAATTAAAAGAAAATTATATAAATGTAATTCTAAATTGTCAAGTAGTGAGCATAATCTATAAGGATTAAATCATATTATGCCATAGAGCTATATGCATTTTATCAGTACTCAAACATTTTAATGTTTTCAATCTAAGTACCAGGAGATATTTGGATATTTGAACAGTAACTACTGTGCCAAAAAAACTGTGGACACTCCTAGTCTACAGTGTGTGCAACATAAACGTAACTATATATTTTAGGAAGTTCATGTTGACATGTGCAGCTCAAGTTCGTTTGTGGTGGTACTTTAAAAAAGTATTTAATGTTTGGACACTACAGCTTTCATGTCTTGATATATTTTTACAAAAATATTAAAACCGTTTTGAAAGAATTGCACTAAGCTGAGAAAAACGAAATGAAACACTATTTGTGTATTTTCTAACTGCAAGTCTGTTTTCAAAAAGAACAATTGTCCTGCTATTGATGAAAAGCTTTTGTTTGACTGGTGGTCTATAGATCAGACGTGAACTTCCTCAGTCTCAGCAGCTCACAGTGTGGTGAAGTAGCTGAGTCATTCCTCACCTGTGGAGAAAGGATGATCTGATCTGATTTGTAGAAATGTCTGTAGCTGAAGTGATTCAAGGCTCGCTGCCTTTAATTCCACTGTCTATCCTCAAGTCCACTCAGCCTCGTCCAGCCTGTTGTGTGTTAATACCCAGCCATTATTCTGAGTATGAGGTCCAGCTGCAGCAGAAGGGCAGATGGCTGCAGAGTTCACCGTGTTTATTGTCACATTCTGGCTGCCGTCACACTTGGCTTGCTGCATCTGGGCAGTATTTCTGGAGACAGAGTCCTGTAACGTCAGAGACTTGCATGTCCATGTCTCTGCCGGAGACGCCATCAGCTGTGACCACTGACCATCATGCTCTCTGCTTCATGTACTGTGGCAGTGTTTTTTTTACTGCATTTCATTGTCAATGTGTTTTAAGGTATTTAATTAGGTTTATAGAGGCGCTGCGGATAAAAAGCTTTTTAAATTGAGCCACCAGTGACTTTATTGTTTTAACCTGTTTAAATAAAGAACAAGTAATTAAGTAATTAATTATATTTTTCAAGGACTAGAGATTTAAATAAACTTCTGTATTAAACTACCAAACACAATCGATCATTTGTTGCTTTTTCATGAGATTCTTTTACAAAGCAGATTAAAATAAAGTTTCCCACTCTGGGACCATTTTTTTATTACAAAAACAAAGCATCATAAAAAGGTCCTGACAAAAAACATGGCTAAAATAAAATAAAATAAAAAAGTAATGAAACTGAGTAGATTTAAATACATCTGCGAGACAGACTGTGACATTTTTACACTATTTCCTGTCACTTTAATAAGACTGAGATAACAAGCTCTAAAATTGCTTTTTGTTCTGTTATTTTTCAAACATCTAGGTCATATAGCTGATGATCAAGACCCATCTCCTATGAAGTACTTCTGAACGTAGTAATTCAGAAGTAACAGCTGTTTCAGTCCTCCACTCTCACCACACCATTCAATTTGTGAGAAGAATTTTGTTCTATTGACACAAAAAAAGAGTGACAGCTAACTCCCAGCTCAATACGACAGACGACGATCTGAGCAGTGTGTAGTTTTGGTTTTTTTTCCCCCATTCTCTGTGTTTATCAAAAAGTCCTCTTCTTCTCTTGGTGATGTTCTCTTTATTACTGTTTGTTGCTTTTACAAAATGTATTCCAAGCACAGGCAGTTTGTAACCTATTCTGTCTTACCGTTCAAAAATGATGAAGGGGAGAAAATGTAATTTAGAGAAGCCAGTAAAGAGAACGGCCTCCCTGGGATTTGATCACAAGCAAACAGAGATAATGCATGCATGGATTCATCACTATTCAGCAGCCAGGTCCTTGTTTGAACACCAGCTTCTGTTGATGGGCATGTGCTGCTTCACTAGTCAACTTTTCACAGCTGCTGCCCTCACTAACAGGTTGCTGCTTAAAACAAAGCGGCAGGTGAATGGCTAGAACACACTGTGCCCGAAGATACCACATATGGTGTGTGACATTCATTTTATTAGTGCAGATGCATTACGTCATTAAAGTAGGTGTATGAAAACTCTGACTCGGCCACTGATGATTCGAATGTGCTTTGGCAGCGCCATGGTATTACCACTCGTCCTAGTTGAAAAGCACTGCTGATAACAGGAACTAGCGATCACACGTTCATACATATTCTAAACATCGCTGCTACACAGGTTTACCCACAAGCTGTTTACAAAACTTTAATTCAAAATTTGCTCAAACTCATTCAATAAAGATCTTAAGCGCAGCATGCCTCATTGCTCTTCCATTATCACACTGCCGTCCTCAGCTCCTCTGCCTGATGTCTGCTTGTTTGCGGTTCATAAATGGGCCAAGTTTGCACTGTTTTTACATTTTACAACACTTCTTCCTTGCCCTTTCCAGTTTCCTTATCCACTGCTACTGCAGTTAACAGGAAATGCTAAGTGTTCATAAACAGCAGACCTAAAAGAAAGATGGCTTGAGGAGTGTTTTGATATAAATCCTCTCACAATTCTGACAATTTTGTGTGCTACTCAGGTTTTTATTTTACTAGCTTCTCCCTGAGCAGTTGGCCATGAAGGGGGAGTGCAGTGCGGGTCTAGTGGCAGCAGATCTGTTGGTCAGGGATGGTCAGGGACATCTATAGTAAGGTGTGGACTCATGTCAATCTCTTTGATGCAGTGGCAGCTGGTCCAGGGGAAGCTGCTGCTGCTATTGCTGTTAAAAAATACAAGGTGGTGATGGCAGACCTCTCTGTGTGACAGATAGCTCTACCCATGGGCCTACAAAAGTCAGTGGCTGTTTGAAACCCAAACACTTTGTCCAAAATTCAGAAAACTTTCAGATTGGGACGTTGTTGTGAGGTTCCTGTTGAAAACCTTGGTGGATAGAGCTGGGCTGTAGTCTGCAACTCAAGTTTGTGTTACATACTGTGAATGTCAGTGT